TCAGCCACACATCAGGTCTGTCATTTTATAAAAGCATCAACATTTGTAACAATTGATGAGATATAGTATTATTATGGCATTAAATATTATAGCTGCCCAATAGCGCCCCCATTAGGCCAAAGCTGAAATGGCTCTAACCTTTTGTTTTCAAGAACACCTTAATAGTTGAACCTTGAAATGAGTGCATACTTTGAGGTATCTTCGTAATAACCTTATTATTATACATCTTTTCCCTTCAAAGATGCATCATGGAAATGCCGAAAACCAAAAAGTTTAGAACATAATCAGCAAACTTCTTTGTATGGAGTCCGGTCAAATCCTGGTGGCAGCCATGTTTGTTTTTATTATTAGAGGACGCTTACGCGCGTAATCATTCCATATTTGGAATTCGCATTTCCAAATATGGTAGTATGAAAATACCCCGTAAAATACCGCAAAATTACGGCACGCTGTAACTTATGGCGTTACGGTGACAGATGTATAATAATACATGTTCTACTGAATATCCATAATACTCTAGGTGTCTCACAATTTTCAAACGAATACAGCAACTACTCACAGTCAGTTCTGATGTGATATTAAATTTCTTAACAAGAAATTTCCATGTCTTGGAGTCACCTATCGCAAAGCCTGCCAATATGCACATCTCAGGAGTCCAGAGATATTTAAACCTCATAGTACTCAGTGCCATTAAACCAAAGAATACAGTCTGTATAGCATGGAATACAAGTTCTGGTCTTTCACTTAATATATGTGATGTAGATTTACTTTCCACTTGCAGTGTATCTTTAGCATGGCAGTTATCAATCAGAGATGATTCATTTCTATGGCAGAAAACAATGTAAAAGTGAACAGATTTTATGACATGCATGATATTGAATGCTGTTGAAGCAAACTCACAGATATAGTTCAAAAATTAGTATCCATATTAGGAGCAGAAAGTTATCTGTAAAAAATATAATGGTAGTAAAAGATACAGTACTATAATGCGATGAGACATACGATGACAGAACGATGACACCACTCACATTATTTTTTTCTATATGCAAAATATGCTGGTAAAACTGGTGTGCATAAATAAAACATGTGTTTATATTTGATATGATGGATATGACTTACTTCCAGTTCTGTACTAGGGCTATAGCTAATATAACCAGTAGAGCAGTCTGTACTACCAAATACAGTGGAAATAAACCATTACTTGACAATCTTTCAAATGTATCAAAAGGTAGAAATCCAAATGCTCCGGTACATAAATATAGATTAGCATCAAAGTCCCTGCATGATAGAAATATGGCATACAGGAAATTTGTCTATGTACGACTGAGATCTGGTTCTAGAATGGCAGAAATGCTTTGATATTTATAAATTTCTAGCATTAAAATGGCCATAATTTGTCCATCTTGAATTGGATCATGAAACAAATGCATATGCATATGTATATGATGTATTTGTGAAGTTTGAATTAGCCTAGGCATGTCTGAGATACAGTTGTAGATGAATGCACCTGTTTTCAGGACTGAGCAGGGATGGATAACAGAAATGGCGCACCGCAGAACACAGTAATGTAAGTTGCTCAGATCTATGCTATTAAAATATTTTTCAAAATGAGTTGGATTGGAATAGTGATAATTAGTTTTTTGGGGTTTAGATTTGGGTGAGTGATAGGCAAGTGGAGTGATCACTCGCCTTACAAAGTAAAAAGCTGGTAACTCTAAGAATTTAAACAGTTTATCAAAAACCTGTAAAAATCTGACAATGTTGTGCTTGACATTACCTGGCAACCCTTTCAGTGCCAGACTTTTTTCCAACCCAAAATTCAGCGTAAATATTCTAACAGTTCCAGATATAGCTTTTAGTTTTTGATCAAAAGGTTTGTCAATTTTTATCAATATTTCATGTGAAGTAGAGCTGACTATGAAAAAAACTGACAAAGTGTTAAAATTCCATTGCAAGTTTACCTCCTGAATGTAGATCTTTTGACTATCGCTGACTTTATATAGTGTTAATAGGATTTGTTTGACTGAAACCTATGCAACATGACATTGTATATTTTATGTACATTTAAAGTTAAACAAAATTATAAACAATATTTGATTGGAGCATTATCGTTTCCAACAAAGTTCCATCTGGCTCAAAATCAGTTAATATGAATTCATATTTAAAATGATATAGCCCCCTCCAGTGGTAGTGAAAGGCAAGGTTTTGTAATTGTCTTGATAATGTGAAGCGTGATGTACAAAATCGAATCAAGTCATAACAGAGTAATATCAGATAGATTAATTATTACATAAATTATGAGCAAATGTTGGATCTAGGTTCACACAAAGACAAGAAAGGTATTTGGCGAAAAAAAAAGAGGTCAGATAATTCTGCATGCAAAAGAAAGATTTACTTAGATTATTTCTTTCAATATCTGGGGTTATCTGTTACATACCTGGTATTAGCAAACCAAATTTTGCTGATAAGAACTTAAATATGTGTTCATCGGCTTCAATATTGATGATGTTCTAAAAAACAAAAAAAGTGTAAATAGATAAATGCAGTAAAACATGTCTATACACTTCCACAGGGAATATTCTCTAATGTCATTGCATCATGATTAACAATTATTATACAAGTGTTAAAGACAAACAGACTTTAATGGGTCTGACAGAATTGAATAAAATCAAAATACAATCAAATCCGTTTATAATGGCCACTCTGGGATTTCAGCCTTTTTAGAAAGGTGGACTTACTGTAGTCACTCTCAAAATTAATTTATGAAATTTGTTTATTTGTAATCATCTTTCCTCCCTCTGGGGATTCAGTTATGTGTTAATAAAGATTAGTATATGAATATTACTTAGATAGCTAATCAGTAAAAACCACCAAGATGTTACCATTGAGACTAATCTGGATGTTAAAAGACCTCATTACCAACTTTGTTTTAAAATATTGTTGATTACTTATAGACTTTAGCTTTAATACAGCCTATGTGTAAACATGTTGGTAGTCATGTATGCATTTTCAAAAACATTTTGAGATTGAAAATAGTTATTATTTTAGTAAATTGCATATAATATATAACAAGATAACGTACATATTTTTTTTCTTGAATATACCGGCAATATCAGTTACAATTGTATTCTGTTGCGAGAAGGATATATTTTCTTTTTATGTACTTTTACATTGACTTGCGTATAAAGTACAGGCTTACGACAATTCACATGCAACATGTTTTCAGGTTATGTTTTAGCCACCTGCCATTTAAGATGGATTACCGGTACTCCAGTGTACCAGTTATCATCTCTAATGACCCTTAGTGCAATGTCCTCCTCTGAGTATAGAATAGTGGCAAATGAGTGATGACAAACCTTTATTATGTTGTTAACTGCTACCATCAGTCCTAGCACAGAAATAATATAGAATATAATTCTGAAGATTCTTCCCATGATGCCACATGGTAAAGAATTCTTTCCCTGTAAATCAGTTCAGATAAAATATTTTTAGTGTGATCTTCCAAATTGCATTTAATCTCCAATACATCATTGTTCTTGTAAGTTGTGTCAGCGCCTTTTAGTAATGACGTCCTGTGGCACAAATACCGGTAGGTCATTTTTATGACCTCTAAAGGTTACACATCTTGGTACTTTCTTTGGTATAAAAATCAAAAATGAATTGACAGTGATATTTCAGCGTAATTCTTAGACTTTACTAATTGTTTTGGCTATTTGAGTAGAATGTTTCGGCTAAATACAAAGACATATTAAAATGCCCGAATTGTGTATGTTTATACCAATAAACATTGCCATATTCGAAATGACAAATGAATATGGAGTTGTCTATTGGAATAACACGGCTTACTTGGCTTTGGGAAAAATTTTGTTTTCATTTCCAAATCTACCTTGAATCAGGAATATGAATTAATGTACGAAATTAAAAGAAATTTTTTTTGAAGTGCCCAAATTGACCGGGAAAATTTTGTGAAATTAATTGAGCCCTAGAAGGAACCTGGCTTACAACCATCTATGTCATGTGTGCTTCTTTGTTTAGGAGGTGTTTTAAGTATAATAAAGATGCACTATACTTTCGCATTGATCCTTGGTACATTTACCATTGCAAGATTATATTTGGATGGCAAACTCTAATAATTCAATGATGTCAATGATGTAATCATTTGACACCCAAATATGAAAGTTATATGTATGCTGTACTGCTATATATATATATAATGATGTGTAAGCACTGTGATATTCTGAGGGCCCCCAATTTCACTTCCAAACCCTCATAGATTATGAAAAATATTATACCTTGATATGAAATACCATAAAGGCTGCAGGAATGAAACTAAGAACAAGAGATCCTAGTATCATTGGATGAAAAAATTGTGATGTACACACTGTCATAAGAGATATGATATGAATAATATATATAGTTTTGATCTGAAAAAAACAAAAATGAAATTATTGGAGATATATTTCACATGCATATATGTGCATCATATCATGGTAGGACAAGCCTAGAACAGACAGCATATCCATATACCTTGGTATTATTACTATCAACATCCAATTCATAGCTCCATGTGCGTAATTCGTAATTCAAACATCAATCTGACCAAAAGGGTGACAGCAGCTCATTTCAAAACTCTAACAAGCAACATGTTGTTCTTTCAGTAAATGTACTTTCAATACTTAATATGTGTGTTTTCGATCAAATAAACTGCGAGAAAGTGGCTGTTAAGTCAAAAATGCTGTTTAATTTATATCAAACACACAACAGCTTGAAGGCCGCACACTGTCTAGACTAGCAACAGTCTTCTTGATCTAATGTTCGATTGTGGAAATGTGAATTTTAGTTCATTATAACACATTTTTGAGGTTCATTTTAAGAAATGTTATTCAGTCACTCACAAATTAGTCTAGATTCAAAAAATTTTTTGTTGGAGTTACAGAAAAAATCATGGAAAGAAAAATAAAGACAAGGTGTTAGTGGGCCAGATCTATTCAACAATTAGTACCCATTCATTCATTGAAATGTTTGTAATTATGAAAAAAAAGAAGAGAAAAATACATGAAATAGTTTTGTTTTACTCACTTTTTGAAGTGGAACCATATCAAGTACAGCACAGCCAAATAATGCCATAGCTTGAAGTAGTAAGACAAACTGAGCAAATTGCCAAGTCAACACAAAGAATAATGTACACAATCCTATAAAACAACACACAATTCTCTGAGAAAGAAATAAAAATAACAGGATATCAGTAAAACATATGAACTATAATTTTTAATATAACAAGTACGATTTGATGATGCAATTGAAATATATGTTTTTCGATACTTTATGAACCAATGGTAAGATGCTCAAAACTCTCCTTTTTCATAAGCCTTTTTTGTGCGAAAAAGTATAATATACAAGTTTCTACATATCATTAACTATCTATATCTAATGAATTTACCAGGAATAAAAAATGAAACATTTTTAAAAAATTGACAGCTGTACGAGGCTTAACAATTAGCTGGGTTTTATTATTTTCCTGATAGCTATTACCCCAGTAAAATGCACTAAAATTAAAACCCAGTGAATATGCTAAGTCATAGAACATGCTGTTTCCTTCACAAAAAACTGAATTTTGAATGAATATCCCAGCAATATTAAGTTTGCTAAAATAAACTCAAGGTAATAGTTTTGCAAAAGCCCTGAGAATGTACAAAATAAACAAGATAATTATTTAATGTGCAAAAAATAAAGTTGGGGTGGGTTTATTATGAGTTAATCAATAGAGCATTCAAAAATAAATTAATAGAAAACTAAATGCATGGATAATTCTATTTCAAAGGCTTGGTCCCAAGATCATTCTTATTATCTGTTTTGTACATGGCTGTATAACTTTTGTTTTTTGGTAATTACAAATTTAATATTAAAATGCCCATGGGTCAAATTATTGAATTCAATGAAGTTTTAACTGATAAATTGAGGTTATCGCAAGAATACTGCAGAGTATGCACCACGGCAGTATTGTATTAGCCGACATGTATTGGAGGTTGATGCGATCCTGTACTGCCTGAGTGTATACTTTTACAACATTCTTGTGAAAAACTGTTATAATAATAATAGATCAAAATGGCAATGAAAATCATTTTTTTCTGTACCAACGTTCAACAGTGCTTCTGCATCCAATGTAAAAATTTGAAAGTGTTTGATCATGACGTCAATGATCTTTAACATGTCAAAGTTGGTGATGTATATGTTATACACCAAACATAGGAAAATTCAAACACTGGAATAATTACAGATATGTTTTGAAATTAATGCATATACAACTTTTTACAGAATGGTAAATTCTATTATTTTCAGTGCCAGATGTATAATAATTTAACTTATGGAACCATTGTGATCTAGAATAAGTGAAAAAACTAAAAAATTGTTATAATTAAATATTTTAACAATGATTCACATGCAAATACTGTAAACCATTTTATTTTCGTCGCATTTTTCTATTTCAGAAAACACCTTTCCTATAAATCATGCCTCTATTGACAAAGCATTTTTATGATATAAATCCATGACATGAAGGTTGTTCAAATCATCAATATCTGTTTGATTTATTAATGAAGATTATGTTTTTGAAAGAATCTGCTATATTACAAAACCAAACAAAGTGGTCTATTTCAACATCACAGAAGCACTTTGTCACTAGAGGGTGTGGTGTATTGGATGGCATTTGTATGAACAAAATTTTGTCCCTGTGACACACTGTCTTAAAAAAGAAATGTTCACAGCTACAAAATGTCGCTGCAAAATCTTTAATAAAATTAAGCGGTTTACAGTACCTCAAATTATTAAATGTATGATTTACCTGTTTTAATTGTGATAATTGAGGTCTAAAATAATAAGTGATAAATGCAATCTGCATGAATAGGAATGGTAGGGAAAAACTCTCTCTTAAAGGAATGGTAAATTCAACTCTTGTCGTATCTTCCCTACAAAAAAGAAATTAATGATAATATAAAAATTAATTAATCATGACTATTTCAAACTATCAGAATCTTGTCAGTCCTGAATTTGAACCTATATGATTCTTAAAGGGCAATCTATTTATCCTTAAAAAGAAGCTTGTTAACATTTTGTGCATGCTCGGTGACTGGTTGGCAAGAACCATGTATTTACATCCAAATAAAAAACGACAGCGTTGTTCATTATTGTTGTTATTAAATATACATGTATGTGTTCCTAATAATTAATCAACTTACAGTCAACATTGTCATAGCAGAACCTGATCTAGTGCTGATCAGTGAACATTGACATTTGCATCAGAGTTGGACAAAAATGAAAACAAATGACGTCACAGTGCGATGGCTTCGTAAGACTTGAATAGGATATATTAGAATTTCATCTTTGATTTATAATATACTGATTTATAGTGTTAGAATATTAATTTTTGTCTAATATAATATAAATAATGATGATATACATGTAGTGCATTAATTTTGTTGTCAAAACTGTAGACTTGAACTAATTTTGATTTATACTTGAATATGATTTTTATTTCCACCATGACTCAGGTGATGCAAAGATGCAGATGTGTATGATGAAGCTAGTGATGGAAACACATGAAAATTACCAGCCGTGAAATTATATTTTGCTTCAATAGGCCATCGCACTTGCTTATATTTTAGGAGTGTATGCACTGGCTGGTTGACAAGAACAGATCATTCACACTTAGAGATTAAATATGGCGTCGTTTGCTGTAGTTGTTATTAAATACACACATATGTGGTAAAATGTAAACAGTCATATTTATTGTATATTTTCCCAAAATTTGCTCAAATTCAGACTATTAAGTATGTCAAATAATATAGCTCTATGAATGCTATATGCTCTATGAGTGCATCTTGAACCAGAAAAGTACAAGGCTTTACTCCAATATGTGTATAAAAGATAAAATAATAGAGCTTTAGTGAAACCATACAGAAAATGTTGGTAAAAAAATCAAGCAAAACTAAAAACATAGCTGTTCACTTTTGAACTGTACGTTTGTTTATTGCAGCTGACTAAATATGTATATGTTGGGGGAAAAATTGCAGTTTTCAAATCATGTGACGTGGCAAAATTTAATTATTCAAGAGTAAGCAAATTTCATTATCAGTAATCTATAGACCACAAAAATAATGCTGCACCTAAATCAGAGTGTAGGTATGTGTAGTTTAGGACTAAAAGACATGCCAAAACGAATGCATCTAAATATTAGACCCTACTACAGCATATTTTGTAGTCATATGCTAAACACATACAGACAAGTTGAATGACCGAAATCAATAATTACTGTGAATTAATTGTATTTGCATTAGTGGTCTATAGTAATTCATCCACACGAAGGTAAATAAGTTTCAGCTCACATAACTTGATTACAGGAAAGGTTATTTTAAGGCCAATCGATATTTGATAAATAGTTGAGCTCAGACATTTTCTCAAAATAAGCTATATTGACATAGTTTACCGATTTTCTAGTTGCCAGCTATATGTGAAATTAAAATTGTATAGACGTTACATAGAAATAGTGTGATCTCATTGAGAGTAAGAATTAAAGCCATGTGACTTGTTTTAATCTTTTCACCACCAGTTCCCGCTTTTCATCACAAAATAGCCACATTTTTTTCCTCAAATTCTGTCCGTTGGCTCTACAAAATTAGGGTACATTTCCAGAAATATTGAAGAATACAAGGAAAAAAAATGTAGAAAAGTTTGGCTGAGAATGTCTGGTGGTGAAAAGGAAAACTTACAAATATTGTTCCATATATTCTCTCAAATCATTGTGTCCACTGTCCCAAATACCCTTGAAAGTAGATCAGTAGATTTGATGACTTGAGAAAATGGAACACTGTGGAGAAAAAGACAAGACTTGTGGCTCTCTTGCTGTCAATAAGATCTCTGCAGCCATTTGAGTCTTAGGTCTATAGTGACATAGTTTGATGAGTTACAGATCCTCTAGTTGTAACTACACATATTGAATATCTTGATTTTGAATTAAAACGAGTTGCTATATATTTGCGTGCATCATGAGAACCGGTATTCAGTTTTTGTTAGATCCAGTTTTGTTTTACATTGTAGTGCTCCAGAGATATTGAAATTTTGATGGATGATTAATTTATAAATGCAGAATGAGGAAACAGAATTTATTTTGCCATGGGATAAAGGCCCATTAATTCCAAGATATCCTGTTGTGAAATGTACATGTATTTAAAGCTTGTTGAAATAGAAGCAAAAGGTTGGAGTATGGAAAACAAGAAACAGTCCAAGAGTATTTTGAGCTTTCATCAGGCTTACAGCTGGCTTAGCCTGCTTTCAAAACTACCATTAATAAACTGTATAGAGTGATCTGGCTATTATATATTTCACGTTAAACAAAGAAACATACTACAAAGAATTTATTATTAAGTTAAAATTATTGATGATAACTTCAAAAAATAATTGTGAAAAAAATCAATTTTAGCCAGATGAGACAGCTTGGAAGTTAAATTATGCTTGGACTGCACTGGTACTGCACTTCCCAAATTATATAGAGCCTTTATGCAAAGTATAGGAATAAACAGACATTTATGAATACAAAAACTGATAAAGGAGTATGCAAACAACATGTCATTGCAGCCAAATTATACACACATTGTGGCATATTAGCGATGGATTTTTTTCCATTAAAAATAATACCAAACATGTGTTTAAATGAATGTAAAAATTTACAGACCAGCTCTAGTTTTGGCATGTCATCATTTAGATTGAAGACAAACATGAACACTAATGACAATGGTAATATGGGGAAATTTAATCTAAATTTACAATAATCCTCTTAGTGTCAGGGAAAACTAGTAAATTGACATGAAAAGATACATGTCAATTTAAGTGCACATGTATTGGAAATATGCTTCTAGTAGAACAAAAATATGTCCAAACATTAATTACAACATAAGAAACAAACATTAATTACAACATAAACTATTGATATAATACAGCAATTACAAAAACTGAAATGTCATGCAGATTTTATTAAGGATGTAATAAAGCATTATTCTATTCTATTCAAATCTATATAGGATTAACAGTATATTTACACTGACTTACTTGTTGAAAATGTAGAACGCTGCTGTCAAAACACCACTCAGCCATGATCCACTCAGCATCCATGATGTACAATATAATGCTATAACATACATTCCATGTAAAAACAAAACGGTGTCTATATAGAAATACACAGGCTCTAACCATTTCTGAGAATAACATGACATGTTAATTATTTACCATTTGAATACCAAAGCAAACTTGTCACCAATTAAACCAGCTCAACTGTTTTTAACAACTTTGATCTCAAGACATTTATTTAGCAATGCGATTTCCAATTGATCCAAATTTCTATATGAAAAAATGTTTCATCAAAATAACATTCATTTTTTTGGAAAATAATTTTCTTCATTCAGCATTGTTAAGAGTAAGCATCACTGAATTTATGAGAATAATCATTTAAATTTAGTACATACCGGTACATGATTCTACACACATTTAAAAATTTAACATATATGATGCCTACCATACCAGTTAAACTACTGTAAAATACTTCATTTTTGCTTGGAATTAATTTTCGTTATTTTCACTGAAGAAATGATTCAGTGAAAATAAAATCTAGCGAATATACCTTTTCTCCTATATTTTACATTCAACTTGTCAAAAATCAGTGCAAATAAATTCCACACAAAACACCCAAAAAGTCTTTTCAGCGAAAATTAATTCCAGCTAAAATAAAATATTTCACAGTACAACATTGCCTGACAACTCACTGGTCATGTGACAACTAGATACATACTGCATACTATAAAATACTGAAGAGGACTTACTGCGATATTAAACATTCTATACATAATGCTGAGAATAACTTCTTGATAGATATTCATTCTTTCCAGTACATTAATTGTCCTCCAGTTTTCTGTCATGTTATCATGTGTTAACTCATATAAACCTTAGATTAAAGATTAAAGGGGAGTGAATAAATAAATGATATCAATCTAAGCATACATAGTAATCAGGCGATTTCAGCCATTACGTTTCATGCATCACATTGCTTGTATTTTTTTCCATCTGTTAGTGATTAACATATCAACTGATTCTTCTCTTCTATTCTACTCTATTCTATTCTATTCCTTACTACAGTATTTTGTTCTATTTTATTCTATTCTATTCTATTCTATTCTATTCTATTCTATTCTATTCTATTCTATTCTATTCTATTCTATTCTACAGTATTCTGTTCTATTGTATAAAATTATATTAACGGCTATTCTATTCTTAGTACTTTATCTATTATATTCTATAGAATTATACAGACTTATATTTCTATTTAAAAAACAGATTCCCATTTTGGTCATGCTTGTAGGGATTTTAAAACTTTATTTACTACAGACTCTGAGACTATAAGTACATGTATATTATCTTCAGATGCAGTAGAGGATTATGAAGCTGAGCTGAGCTTACCTTGATTGATCGATGGAGCTTTAAGCATTTGCTTGTAATATGAATAATAAAGACCAGACTCTGTTCGGAAAGAAATCTCACGCTCTACCTCCTGTAAAAATACAAAAATGCAAAAAATTCCAATATCAGATTGAAACAAACATTTTAGATTATATCATTAATATTTATAAAATACTAATTTAAACTTGATTCAAAATATTATGTTATCATGTATGGGAAGCATATTGTTCTATATAGTGCCCAATGAACATATTTCGAACATTGTAATAATTTTAAAATAAATCAATTTTAGTTTTCATATGGAGTCAACATGTAGCTGTTTATAATGTACCGGTATATGTGTGAATTTTAGTTGCTGTCTATCCAGGAGAAAGTTTTTTCAACAACAAAAAGCCACGCAAATGATTAACACCAAAAAGATGAATCTACATGCATATACAATGCACCCATTTTTCATACTACTTTTTTGTAGAGTAAATTTTTATTTTTAACTAAATTACATGTATATCATGTATATGTACAGTTGTCTCAGTCTGTAAAACCTAGAATCACAAATTTAACAATATTGGATTCCTAATTAATTATTGGATATTTGATTGATTATTGTGCATATTATAGACTTAACCTTATGTGCACATTTGTAATCAGGTATTGGTAATGTATTTTCTCATTTGGTGCATTCACTACATATAACTACTCTTTCCAATTAAATTATTAATTACTACTTGAAATTGTTACCATGGAGAAGAAAAAATGGGCACAGGTGGTCTAGCTATAACTTATGGTTTTGTTAATATTTTCTAACAGAATAACAACTCTACACATCCACATGAGCAGGCATAAATTAAATGAATAAACATGAATTTTTGGCAGCTACAAAGACATGTTAAAAAAATGTTAAATACAAATGTTAAATGTGAAATTAAAGTCTGTTAATACTTCATGGGACTACATGTACATGTATGTGTAATATTCTAGTCACTGTATTTATTTTCATGGTTATCTCAATGGGCAACCAGTTTTTAGTATCTGGTTTCTCCACGACAAAATTGGTTGTCAGAGACAACTGAACAACTATCAATTGATTTTTTACCTGTGATATCAGAAAATATGTTGGCAACATGATTGCATACACTGTTCAGTAGTTTATTTTTTATTATTGAATTCATCTTGTATACAAATCTGTAGGAATGTGTATTTTAACATTCAAACTACTAGTAACAATTCTTTCAATTTTGTGAATAAATAGCAACCAAACCTCAAAATTTTGAACATATTTCAGTTTTTAAACAATTCAATTATGAATCAAATCACATATCAGGAGAGTATAAAGTCACTTAAATATAATTTTAGTCTTAAATGACCATGACTGATCATGTTTTTTCACATTCACTGCATTATTATAATATAGCCTACTGCAATACTATGTAGTATCTGCACTTCCACCATCGAAGAAAAATAGTTTTAACTACCTTGGCCAATACTACATTGTTTTTCTTAGCCAATTGCCAATTTGTTAAAGTTGTATTGTTGAAAAAATTTTGTTTGAAGCCTTTAACATGTTCCCCGTAAGTAATACTTTAATAAATACAAGCGCCATGGTATTTGCAAAATATACACCATGCTGAATATCACCAAGCAGTTTTGCAGCTTTACGATTAAATGTGATAATTTTTTTTAGTGTTTCACAAAATTTGGCTCTAGACCTACCTAATATAGCTAATGTCAAAATTAACAATTTTGAAAGAAATTAAAGAAAAATACAGAAAACGTGAAAAATCTTAATTACAAATCTTGATTTGGATGGATAAAGAAGTTGTTTCCTTGGTAAGAACATTTGCAGGTAAAAAAAAATTTAAACAAAAATGCTAACTTATTGATTTATTAGAAATTCATAACTTGCGTCCACATTAGATAATATTGTTTCCTGCTAATCTAAAACAAATAAAATGTTATAGAACAATTTTAAATAAAACTTTATTAGACAGTACTAGTTACCGTAATTATGGAATCATACACAGATAATTACTGGGGGGTAACCCAGGACTTGTTTGATTTTGTTTTTGAGATAAAATTTTAGTGCCGCTGAATACTTTGTACTACACCGCAAGCTATGTCAGATGTGTGTATGCGGGCAATAAAAGCAAATGTTGTACTTCAATGCAAACAGATGGCAATAATTGAGTTATGGACATTATACAAACACCCATCAAGCTATACATATTTGATATTAGCATAACAAATTTTACGACTTGTACAGAATACATAAGACCTTTATAACATTTGATTGTATCATAACTTCTGTCCCATTATGAAAATATAGTCGACTACATTCTTTTCTACATTCATTCTTTCTACATGCATTTTTTTCTTGGTTTTGTTTGATATTAATAACATATTGCTTTATCATCATGGGATGAAAATATCATGCACATTGAATTTTTTTGTATATACTACTACACTTACAAAATTGTTGGTATTCAATTTGGCAATTTTGATGCATGGACACAAGTGAGTTTGACTTGTCATTGAAGCATGATTCTTTTTAATGGTGACATTATTTCTTTTGTTTTTAGGAATACACACACACACATATATATATATATATATATTAACAAAGTACGAAGGAATATAGAATCTAAAGGCTCAACAAGTAAATAAATAAACGCTGCACAGACCGATAAAGTAATCATTGTCGATTTTCACACAATGCCAATGCAGAAAATAATGTTGGCAATCATTTGATTTGGCAATCATTTCGTAACCCTTTTTGAATTGTGTTCCCACATTCGGAACATAGGTGAATCCAGGCATATCAAATATTTCCTGCACTTTGTATATATCGGTACCATAGTATATTTATTATCCCTCAAGTACAAGACAGTCAATATTATTGGTTAAAAATGGTCACATGATTGTTGCTAAATATGCATATTGGCATCTCCTAGCATATTTCTTCTTGCTGACATAATTTTTATTGTGTTACTGGCTCTGATGTCATATCATGACAGTTAGATTGTAGCAGACGATAAAAGGATGAATGACACTCCAATGCATTTCTTCATTGGGGGCTAATTTTGATTTTAATTCTGAAAGTTTGTGTTTTGGCTCACAGTTTTACTTTGCCTGTCTTGTTGTTCTCCTTCGAAATAATAAAACAGTTATTGTCTTTGGTTTCAGCCAATATCAAGAAACACCAGGCACAAAACATATAACTCATACTCATAGTGCAACCTAAAATGCTGTCACATGACTGTCAATGTGTTATGAAACAAGAATCCAACACTGAATATTAAGGTGCTAGTCATCGCACCATATCATGTTCGATATGGGACCCACACGAACTTATGCTGCACGACGACTATAGCAATTTAAAGTGGAAAACCATATTTGATCTATTTTAAGTACCATACATCTCCAATGCATCATGTATACTGAATAATTCAAATATGAATTAATTATTATAATAAAAAAAACACCTCTGTTATTTACTTATATATATACAAGACACTTCGCGATGAGCATCTTTAGGGGTCAGTAATATTACGAAAATTTGTGTTCACTATTTCATAAACTGGCTTGGCAATTCACACCACCAATTAGACCATGTCACAGCATTTCGGCTACTTTGCCAACAAATCCAAAATCACTCGATAATTTTGTTTACTTTACATTTTATGCATACATGTACACTCACAAAAATACCCTCAAAATAATAGAATTTAGTATATAGCCTTGAGTGGTATAGTCTGAGTAGTATATACGAAATACAACCAAGTAAACGTCAGAATATTTAAAAAGACAAACAGAAACCTAAAAATCAGTTGCTCATGCCAAGAGCCACAGAACCAAAACAATATGTCAGCCGTCGCCGTCCACAGCAGCGATATAATTTTACACATTGAATTTAAGAATCGCAAGTGTAGACATATTGCATAGAAATGAACACTAAATACATCTATCCTGGCCAGAAATCGAATCATCAATCTTCATGAGTGACGTAACTGGCATTTCCATCTATTTGCTTCTATTCCCACTATCCTAAAACGCTCAAATGAATGTTGTCAAATTCGCGAGTGTGCGTATTTTCGTACAGTGGTGTAAACATTGCTACAATCAAAGATGCGCTGAACAGAAAGTCAATTCTGGGCTAGTACCATTGTCAAATTCTGGGAAGTAGAGGACTATTTATATTGGAGAGGTTACAATACAGAACTATTACAATTGTTTGATTTGCATATCGAAACAATAGAAACCGTCCGATCCGAGCGACCTGCGTTCTTGAAAATCTAGTCTTATCGCCCTTGCGTTTCCGAGCAAAAAGACGTTGAGGCCAAAAACGACCGATTTTTGCCTAATCTTCAATGAATTTTTCATATTATAGACAATTCAGTTCAGCAGTTAGATAGGGTATTTATTAGAGAGGCTCGGAGAACCAAAATTTAGGACGTGAATCGCTTCGGCGCCGAAAAATTGGCGAAAAAAACATATTTTATATATAGGGTATATAAATAAAGCAAATGTGATATATTTTTTAAATATTCTCATAATAGATGAAGTTGTTTTATGCTGCTTTATGTTGATTTTGTTATTGAAAGCAATTATTCTTGACATAAATTGATTCTAAAGTGGATTTTCAATCTATTCAGGCATGTATTATGTACACTTATATCCATGTGAGAGTTTGATTTCTGTGAGATGTGACACCCACAGTGACCTGCTACAAGACGAGAATGCCAATTACAGTGTAGTCGAGGACTGTGATATTTTCATAAGAGCAAAATGAATACCAACAAGTTGAGTCTTGTGATCTCTGGTAAATACCCAATTATGGTGGCTTAATTGTATAATAATATACTAATTTATGTGACAATAGAAAGAATAAACATATCAGTCATCTCTATTATTGAAAGTCCAAGGACTGTAATTCAATCACAAAACATGGTAACACTTCGGTCTTGAAAGGCACTGGTTATATGCAAATTGTTTACCTTGATTTCAGGAAATTTACTATATGGCCATAAGGCTTAATTATTAGCTGGCTATTATTTTTGCTAATAGCTAAATATGTGAAATATACTGAATATGCAAAGTTTACAATAGATTGTATGGTTTCTCTCATAAACCAGTGAATTTAAAACCCAGTGACTATCCATACAACACCAAATCTGCTAAAATAAACCTTTAAAATATTTCTCCTTGTACAGTACCCTGAAATGGATCAATGACTGTCATGATTTCAACACATGCATTCAACAAGAATTACAAGATTCAGTCATACATTAAAATATATATGTGAGACTGAAGTATTCAAACTACGAACACTTTTGATTTTAGCATAGTATCAATGTTAAATCCTAGTTTACAAAATGAAAGAAATGAAAATTAAGGGTTTCTCCATAAATGGAGACAAAGTATAACGATAAGTTTCAAATCTGATATGTATCAACTTTTTAGAAAGTGAAATTTACATTATGGGCAGAGATTTGAAAACAGATTGAATTAAATACCTTGATATTTGAAAACCATAAACGGTTCTCATGAAGTGTATTCATGTAGATTACATGTTTGTATCCCATATACAGACTCAAAGTTAATCCAATAGCAAAGAACACTGAGTTTCTGAAAAGCAATCTCGAAGGTGAAACTTCATCATTCAGGCAATGATTCTGTGAGAATTTCCTATCACGGGTTTGGGTTCTTCTGCCAGTTTTGGTTTTTCCAGGCCTGCGCTTTCTGAGCTCTGCAGACATGTTTGGATCACAATAAGTAAATAAAAGCACTATGCAATGAGATCACCTCAAATGACAATACAAGGCTTGGATAATACTGCAGTAGTAGTACTTTAGAAATTCCACTGTTCCAACTGACTTACTGAAGACGTACAACATGAATGGAATAACAAAACACTGGTTAAATGTAAAGGTGCAATACGAGACAATACAAACGCTGTCACAGTTTACCACACACAACCACCAGTGAAGCAAAACACTAAACAAAACTGACACAGACAGGAAATTAGAAGCAAACACGCAGTGGGGTGCTAGCACAATATTCCTGCATTACTATTGGACAGTTTTTAACAGTATTATTCAAAATAATTAACTAGTCATATTGCTATTATTATGCTAATCAATAAATCATTACCTGACATAGCAATATCGCTGAAATTCCCTGGGGGTACTCGTTATCATTTCACATTCTTTTTTATAGGCAACATGTGGTATCAAGTTTCTAAATTGCTTTTAGGCCTAATTAAACTTCCAGGTACAACACTTGTTCAATTATATTTAATTTCACCTACTTGTCAGGCATAATGATGACTTTAATGGTTGTGCTGTGCCTATACTAAGAACATGTGTCATGTTGTCGACATATTAACAACATTGTTATTGCTGTCCAACAACCCAATGACTGGCTGGCTGGCTGTAATCACGTGGCATACATATAATTATGATATTGCTATTGTTTGTTGTACACTCTCAACACAGTTTTCATATAATACTGGTAATACCATTTCAACATCCCAATTACTAATGCCAGTTTCTTTTCTCCACAGGACAATACATTGTCCTAAAAAACTGATATGGCATTACAACTGTACCAACAACAGAAAACATGACTTTCTAGGGCTCCTCGGCAGTTGCTTCCTAACCTTCAGAGTATCTGCAGCCCCTAATAGATTCAGAACTAGCAGGCATGAAGAACAAATACAGATTCTACATTTTTGAAATTTTCATGAAGTCACTATAAATGCTGGTCTGAAAAGTCCAAATGAAATTTCCACTGCCACAAAATTTGTGATGATCCCAGAGTTTGGGAAATTTGACTTTTATATGCAAAATTGAATCGATCCACAGCTTGTTAATCTTGTGGTCATAATTGTATTTGCTGTTTCTGTGCAGAATTGAATTACCAGTACAATGTACACACAATCTATTGATTAAAAATAAATAACAACATGTTGTCTTAAAGACAAGAAAAAAAATCAAATAACGCAAAAGACAATTTTTGACATAGAAAGGACTTTTTTCTTCTCATTTTACTATCCCATATCCCAATATCCTATATTATATGGTCAACAGTGGAACTAAGAGAAAGCTTTTATGGTGCACAACATAAAAGGTACTATGCCATTGAATTTGTTATCCCTTTAAACATAAATGTACTCTTACTGTGGCACAATGTATTAAAATATATTTATATAAAGTGACTTGAACGTTTCAATAAGGATCAATATTTATATCAGAAGATGCTGACAACACTAATGTAATTAGAATGGCAGATTTCCATTTTAAAAAATCACATTTTTAATTAGTATATTACCAGTAAGATAAAGCCAGAATTTTTTTCTGCTAAAACTGATGCTACATTGTCCATGTATTTCTGAAATTAGATCAGA